CATGATTGGTGGGAATCAGAGGGAAGGTTTTATTCCCTGTTTGTAGATTTTCAGAAGGCCTTCGGTTCTGTTATCAGGTAATATGATACCCCCGCCTTAACCCTACGTAGGTGGACAGGACACCCTGTTCCGCTTTAGTAGACATTGCGTAGAAACCAGTTGTGAGACTCAGTCGTATGTTGAGATGGGGTGGTTCTCTTGAGGCAGTGCGAGGAGCAAAATGGTAAAAATATTCACAGAACTAAAGGGAATGTGAAAGTTTTAAAGATAGGCAAATGTGTTTCATATAGCCCAGATTACACATGTCAACCAAGCTCTTCATCTTCGATATGAAGCTATGATGAGGAACAGGCCCAAATGTCAGTTCACATACGGCAGCTATAAGGGAGATTAAAACTTTATGGTAATTGTGTCGGCGCTTTTGTAACCAGATCTAGGCTATTCCATTGTGTGAGCAGAGACCATAGACCATAGACTATTGTACACCACATTCAGATATCTAGGTCTGTGCATTGAGGTTGAAAACTGGAGTAATCCAGGTCACACCAAGTCACAATATGCATTGACCTGGAACCAAGTATTTCTTTTTTTAGCTAACCTGAAATCGACGTGATGCTGATAACGTTGAAAGGACAGCCACCGTTTGTGCTCCTGTTTAGAGACGCTAAACTAACCATCTTTTTTTATTCCTTCTTGCTTACACCCGACAGGGACTGTGAGACAGCCTAATGTAATACATTCACCACATCACACCTAAACTTGATATGGTCCAGTAACTACCCTACTCAAGAGAATTGCAGTTTAATCGTGTTGTTGTTTTGAGAGTTTGCGACTTTTTGCAATAATAATACGTACATATATACTACCCATCAAAAGTTTAGACTCACTTAAAGCACTCACTATCGGTTATGTATATACATGTATATGGTTACATCGAAGATGAATTTCTCCACTAACGTGGGGGGAAACAACTACAAACTTTCTGCAGACTAATTGCGCGAGGGTCATGCATCAAAATGCTGAAAAGCATGTGCAAATATCGTTCATGTGAACAGCTGCGTTTTGGTGTAAAGGTTTCAGAAGAATTCGCCAATTTTCACTGAGTTTTATCATTCATTGAACGCATGACAATAATCTTTTCAACGTTACGAATTTGGTTTACGATACATCAGTACATGTGTTAACAGTACCTTTAAACAGTATGGACTGACTGACTGACTGAGTTTGTTTTTTATGCCGCTTTTAGCAATATTCCAGCAACATCACGGCGGGGGACACCAGAAATGGGCTTCACACATTGTGCCCATGTTGGGATTCGAACCCGGGTCATCGGCGTGACGAGCTAACGCTTTAACCATTAGGCTACCCCACCGCCCCTTAAACAGTATGGAATACTGTGCACAATCTAGTCCAGACCAGTTCACTGAAGTAAGTGGCTACAATTACACTAGTGAGTCTAAACATTTGATGGGTAGTAGTTTCCAGTACACTGCAGGAAATAACTCCACATACACATTTACTTAAATGGGATTCTTTATATTTTGCCCACCCCGAAACTAAAGTTGTGCAGGGTATATGGCAACGTGGTGCGTTTTCCCTCACTTCTCATACCCGAAGTGAAGCCAGTCAAAACGTCATCACGTAAGTATGTATGTAAATCTGGCGTATGCTGAACTGGTGTTTCCACTAATCAGGAAGTTTGTTCCTTCTATGCTTCAGACCTGTGAAACTAGTGGATTTTGTATTGAGGTATTTTATTCAGTTGACTTACTCGTCCAAAAGAGGGTTTCACTTTATGATGAAGTTATCAGTTTTTATGTCAGTTGTATTCACAAACCGCTTTTGCATAATGACTCATATGATATATTTAATAACTTGTTTGAGTGGCATTTAGAAGTTGGTGTGATGAACAACGAGGAGAGTTCTATGGATATACAATCTTCTTTAATATAATATGAGCGACGTTTCGGTGTAGCCGCTAACACTGTTATCAAGCAAATGACTATAACGGTGTTAGTAGCTACACCGAAACGTCGCTCATATTATATTAAAGAAGTTGTATATCCATAGAACTCTCCTCGTTGTTGATATATTTAATGGCTGAAAGGGGTTTCGTCTCGGTCTCAGATGTTTTCGTTCGTTAAGTCACAAATATGTTGACTAATACATGTACTTATTTATACGTAATACACGTCCTCTAAACATCAAGAAAACTAAAACATTTAATCATGTGGAGCAGTGAACGGGAGACAGAAGTTCACGAGACCGGGTATCTCGCGAGGCAGTGATCCGTCTCCAACTTGCCCGGAGCCCGTTCACTGTACAGGTCTTTCTCTACTTGTTTAAACCAGCCGTCTATGTGACGAAGATCAGCAGGATGATTAAGCATGCACTGCTAGTGTGCACGACAAACTGGTTAATCTGGTTGCTTGCACAACATCCGTCTACAGCCTGACATACAGACAGACAATGTATTTCTGTAACTAGGCCATAGGCCCATAATTCAAAATGCAGGCACATTGGTAACATCGTGTTGTACATGCTTAAGTATTAGTGCATATAATAAATAAAACATTGCACTATCAGATTTGCTTTCTTACTTTCTTTATATGACAGGGGAGACGTCCAAGACAAATTAATGTGTTTATGTTGTTGCAAGAAATTAGCCTAATAAAGTTATCAAAACTGCGGTTAACAAGTGTCCATAAAGGAAGGCATTCTTGTCTAATATCTTCACATCTCTCACATATTAATAGAACATGAAATCCATCTTCGACCAAATGTAACCATTACTACAACAATAAGAACAAATGCTATCAGCATTACTGATATTTGATGCCTACCCAACTCAACAGCTAAACGGAAATTATTACACCTAAATTGAGAAATAACATGCTTGTAATAATATGGATTATCTGCACTTAAGTATCTTTCTACATTCAGCAATGACTTACATTTACCATATACATTACATTTTGATGAATTAGATAATATGGAATGCCAATCTTGACATAAACTATCATACAACCTTTGTTTGAAAGTGATCATGAATAAATTGACAATACCAAACCATACAATACCAATACAAAGCTGATACACAAGGAACCAGCTCCATCCAATAACTTAAGCATTTGCTAACACTGATACGGCAACCTATGAGTATTTAACTGAAGCAATCTACACCAATATTTAACACACCCAGACATATCGTGATATTGCAATGGAACTCTGCCATATTCACCTAGCGCCATAACATTGCTGGTATATTTACTAACTTTCAAAAACCTTTTGCAGAAGTATATTTGCAAACTTTCTATCTGTCTACAGTATGAAGTGTCCCAAATCTCTGCCCCATAAGAAAGTATAGGACAAATAGCTGCATAAAAAAATCAAGATCACACGAAATTGCTCCAAATTTATTTTGATAATTATATAATGCCATAAAGTTTTTTGTGCTTGAGCGGAGAGACAACACTGAGCCTTAGTCCATGAGAGAGATGGTGTAAACACAACACCTAAGTATCTATATGCATTTACTACCTCTATTTTATCGCCCTTAAAACACACTCCTCATAGTGGCGGAGAGGACCACCTTTACGAAAATCCATATTAGAAATAAAGATACCATTACCACCATTACTATCAAACATTTGGGATACCTGATTTACAAAGATTACAAAAAGGAGCGGACTGAAGATACAACCCTGACGGGTACCGATATTATATTTACAACGCCTGGATAGGCCCTGATCTGTCCTAACGCAAGCAGATAAATTTGAATACATAGAGACAATTAAATTAAGAAATTTCCCTTTAATATCCATATTAATTAGGCTTTTAAATAATACTCCATGGTCAACACTATCAACGGCTTTTTTAAATTTCACAAATATACAATACGCTCTACCACCTTTTTAAGAGAAATATTTTTGCAGCATTGCTTGTAAACAAAATATTTGATCCACCGTTGAGTAGTCTGGCCGAAAACCAGCCTGGGTTTTCTGATAGGAGAGAGTTTATTTCACACCAAGTTTGAAGCCTTTTCTTAAGAATCGCACAGAGCAGTGTGATCAAGCATGCATAACGAGCGAGCACAAAAAAACTGGCTAGTCTGTGTCTAAACCCCATTACCCTGCTACAGCCTTGACATAGCCTACACAGGTGACTCGACATTCAATTCTGTGTGCGTATTCTTGTAACGCTAGGCTGAGCGAGACATGGTACCTGACAGTGTGTAATAACCTGCTGAAGGTGCACTCTGTTGTGGGTTTATCGACAAGAAGTCGACCTTTTGAAATTTCGCTATGGACACGAAGTCGACCCGCGGTAAACTTTGATGTTGAAGGCGTTTTTTTGCTAGAGTCACGCTAATCCGCTAGTAGGTGTTGTTTTAAGATTTTCCATAACCGGAGCATCGTGCAAGGCGTGAACATAATTCAGTTAAATGTCATCAATGTCATCATACATATGAGAGTGAAATTGACAGGACGTCGACGTCCTGTGCAGACACCCTGTTGTGAGATGAACGACTGACACCAACACGACATGGCTGAAGAGAACTAACGGTCAACCAATATATGTAAAATAAATCAATGTCCGTCTTTATAACGGTTTGAGGGCGGACGCCCTTACCCTGAAACTGAAAAAATATATACGTAGAGAAACAAATAAAGGAACACAGGAAAGCTCAATCGTTCCTTTAATGTTTTCCAGTTTTCATCTCCAGCTTTGAATAGCGTTGTGGTGATGAAAACTGGAAAATAATAAAGGAACGCTTGAATTTTCCTGTGTTCCTTTATTTGTTTCTCTGCGTATATTTTACATTGTAAAATATATAGCATTGATGCGAGTATCAAGGTTCCAGAAACACACGTCCACAATCTTGACATACATGAACAGAACTGTTATGTAAGTAATGAACTACGGTCTATATGTATATCAATATACATAACTCACTGCAACATTGCCTGCATGATTGGGGCAGAAAATGTAGGGGTTACCTGAAATCTTCCATTTCAGCAACTTCCTGTATTCTTCAAGGTTCACAGGTGATGGTTTGTTTGACATAATATCCGACTCTGTAAACATAGCGTTAAAATAGTACATGTTCAGCCATTACCACTGATTCTCATATCTGTCAGCTCTCTTGCATTTTACCTTAATGTCACGCACTCACGCATTACCAGTCTAAACTACTGCATTATTGAAAATGTTTATATACTAGTACGAAATGACATAAATATCATCTTTAAATAACCTAAAACCAATTTTCCCCCAAGGGGGCGTTGCCCTGAACCTGACCCGCGCTGTGCCCCCTGGACACCAGCTTCTCACTGATTGGAACTCTCAGGGGTTGACAATTATGGATCCTGGCGGGGGGTACTAGAAATGGGCTTGACATATCACTGACTGAATGCTCATTGTGCTACACTATCTTTACCCCAGTCTTCTGACAGATCAATTATACTCCTAACTCCATGGGGTATACAACCCAAGCAACCGTATCGGGCCCTAGAATATTGCATTACAATCTCACTAGTTACCAATTTACTGGTATATGAATCCAGGGATGTTTCCAACTGAATATGCTGCCTTAGACCCTACCACATGTGACATGGTTCAGTGTTGGACAGGATCAGGCGCGTAGCAAGACAGTTTTTTGTGTAAGCCTGATAGGTTGCCCAACCTTTTTTGACTGGATGGAAGCATGTGACATGGTTCAGTGGGAGCAGGATGGAAGCATCAGCACTCACAGGAGTCGAACACAGCCAGTCGTCTACCTACTCTCCGCGACCATTGTTTTCCGGTGACTGATAAGTTCTGAGCCTTAGGAAGGAACTACCTAACGACATTACAATGATACATTTTCAAAATCCAATTAGTTTTCCAACGATGTTGAAGAAGTAAAATTCATTCGCTCAGATGTCCAAAAGCTTCTCCAGTTGTGCAAGCCGTCTGGTGCATTGTGGCCAAACGGAGCATGAATTAGTCAGGGACATATACTTGGTGGAATATTATTTGAGTTCTGGCGTTGCGTCTTTTCTAATCTTCCAGTTTCTTATAGTCTTAGATTCATTCCGTAATTGCCTTACATAATATGTTCCGTTTGTTGTGTAGCCTTTTTGACGAATATATCTCTTGTGCTTCGATTTAACAAAATATATTCCTGATCATAGAACAATACGCCTATTTTACTGGATCAGAAGACACCCGTGAAGATCCGGGTGGGACTCGACCAACTTATGACTGCATCTCACAAGAAACGACTGATGGGATCGCTGACTTGGTTGATGCATGATGTTGTATCCGGTCTGCGTTGATCTGTGTTAAGAACGGAAGTCACTGGATTGTTTGGCCCAGACTCGATTATTTACAGACGTCCTGTGGCTGGCATATTGTCGAGTGCGGCGTTAAACAACAAACAAACGGTTACCGACTACGGCTGGGCCACCGGTAATGGGTGTCACTGTTCGAGATATCAGGTATATTCTGAGATAAAACTTGTCCACTTGACTCACCTGACATGTCATCCTCCTCTGTGTAATGGCTGCTTCTTACTTGATCCGGCGATACTGGCAACCCTGGGAATATATTCATCTCATACTTAGACCAACAGATACACAATGTGACAGTTTATAGTGAGTGACTCTAGTTTTACGCCGCTTTTAACAATATTCCAGCAATATCACGGCGGGGAACACCAGAAATGGGTTTAGACATATACCCATGAGGAATCGAACCCGGGTCTTCGGCGTGACGAGCGAACGCTTTAACCACAAGTCTACCCCACAGTTTATACCATTTTCCTGACAACTCAAAACAAAAGGAGTATTCACCCATATTTAATTGTATATTATGACGAAATTATAATTTATTAAGGAGCAAAGGCGTGTCCAATGATAAAAATATGTTTGTTTAAAAACGTTCCTTTGAGTATTAGATTTTATATAGAACTGAAGCCTGACACGTGAGCGTCTTATCCTCGTGAGTACTCGGTCAAATTTTCTTTCTGTGTTGTGTTTACTATCTCTATAACATCACGATTAACTGGTTCTGCAGCCATGATGTTGATGATATGGTATCACAATGTAAATGCATCACTGTATCGGTCGACTGATGATGACAGGTTTAAGCATCCATCACATTTAGTTGTTCACAAGCGACCTACTACTATTGTATTATATACTCAGCTGAACTTAGTTAGAATGCAGAACCGTACTCACGCATCTTGATGACTCACACAAGGGGACAACATAATATTCTACAACATGAACGTACTTGCCCTAACTGCACCTGTGACTAAACTGAGGGCTTGTTTCAATTTAATCCAGTTTGTCCTGTTTTCGATCACATCAGAAGGCTGTATGATGAATGTATTACACGATGTTGTTCATGACTATTATATAGCAGAAACGCAACCAACATTAACTATAATCTACCCCATTGCATGTTGTCGCTGTTGTGATATGAATTGAAATAATGTCATAATTGTAGCTATATGTTTTTGTGAGAAACAAGTCGACGAAACACTCACCATTCATATTGACAACGACTTTAACTCCCGGAGACTGCCGAGCTATGGCTGCTAGTAGAAACAAAGAGAATATAGATGTTAAAACGGACCGATTGATAAATTAATTCATCTGATAAACATACGTCCTCAGAACTTTCGAAAAGATAGAAATCGACCACTTGACATGTCCTGTAAATAGAAGCAATAAAACATTAATTAAACTATCTGCTGAAAGTAAACTCAGTTGTAGGATTCTCGTCAGCATATTCCAGGGATCACTGTCACACATTCATGACATCCTGTCAAGGTGATGTGTAGACAATCACAGGACTAAGTGAGTGAGTGCGTGATTTGGGTTTTACGCCGCTTTTAGCAATATTCCAGCAACATCACGGCGGGGGACACCAGAAATGGGCTTTACACATTGCACCAATGTGGGGAATTGAACCCGGGTCTTCAGCGTGACGAGCGAATGTTTTAACCACTAGGCTACGCCACCGCCCCTATAAGACGATCGCTATTAACTGACATACATGCAGGTTTGTATTACCTTGTGTTACCAACGCTGGACACGGCCTGGAGTTCCATAATGTCAGGAGGAATGCCAACAACAGAAGAATCGTTATCACCAGATTTAATCCTGAAACATACGTGATGGGAAACGTAACTGGATTATTGTTTATTTCACATTATTTATTATATAACTGCAAATGTTTTCTTGTTTTACTGTAGACAGAATATAATAACTAAATAGCTATAAAAATATCTGTTATTGGGGTAAAGCAAATACATTTTGGTTAGATCACAATTAATTCATATAAATTCGAAAGGCATGTTTTACTTGCACTTTAAGCTTATCTAATGAGGTATGCAGCTTAACATAATTAGCAGTTATCTGTGTGCAGATTTACCTGGGGACAACAGGGCGGGAGGCGGGGTGTTTATCAGCAAGTTCAGCAGGAAGGGAGTAAGTAATGAATACTCTTGAAGTAAGAAATCATAAGATGCATAGCATTATTTGAATGTGTCTGTGGTAGGGGGTGGAGCGGTCTGGGCGCGCCTGTGTGTCTCTGGGAGGGGTGAAGCGGTCTGGGCGTATCTGTGTGTCTGAGAAAGGGGGTGAAGTGGTCTGGGCGTATCTGTGTGTCTGTTGGAGGAAGTGAAGTGGTCTGGGCATATCTGTGTGACTGTTGGAGGAAGTGAAGTGGTCTGGGCGTGTATGTGTGTCTGTTGGAGGAAGTGAAGTGGTCTGGGCGTATCTGTGTGTCTGTTGGAGGAAGCGAAGTGGTCTGGGCGTATCTGTGTGTCTGTTGGAGGAAGTGAAGTGGTCTGGGCGTGTCTGGGCGTGTCTGTTGGAGGAAGTGAAGTGGTCTTGGAGCATCAGTGTGTCTATGGGCGGGGGTGAAGTGGTCTGGGCGTGTCTGTGTCTCTGGGATAGGTAGTGTCTTTTGTTTGGGTCATGTTCCATATATTTACCTCTCCCGAGCCGGGACAAGCGAATACCTCGTAGTCCCATCGAGTGTTTCCTGAAGATGAGATAAAAGTACATTAACTTATGATTTTTCTACGACTACATTATTAAGATATTTACATCAGCCTTAATACACCTTCGGGTACACGGTGTCGTCTCAGGACGCCGACCTTTCGATTTTCCACTAGTCTCAGGACGCCGACCTGCGGTTTCCTTTGAAGGTTAGGTTCTGATTAGGCTTAAGTAACGTTGCGGATAATCTACTCTAGATGTTTTCATAAGGTGAACTCGTCGCACATGTCTTCTCACTAGGTGTGCTCTCATCCGCATAATCTGGATTATCCTCCTCTACAACTCGTTGATCCTCTGGATCCGCCATTGTTAGCAGCAGCATGTATACAAATATCTACTCCCTCCGCTTTTCACAATCAGTAAAGGGAAAAAAAGGTAGATGTGCTTTCAACAACGGACGTGAAGTTGTGTACATGTTATGTAGGGGTACGATCTGTCTTAAAGCTGCTTAGACTTCCTAATCCCCTATCCTATCCATAAAGTGTGTTCTATATTCCTAATCCCCTATCCTATCCATAAAGTGTGTTCTATATTCCTAATCCCCATTGTACTGTACAAACATCTGCTCTGACTTGTATATATGCTCCTTCGTCCTTATGCTGTTCATCACTTGCTTGATAACGGTGTTAGAACCTACACCGAAACGTCGCTCTCACAGCTATAAAGAAGTTGTTCATCCATATATTGTTATCCTTCCTTAGATAAATTCTAAATGAAAAATAACGCAGTGTAGACTCACTGATTGTACGTTATATTTATGCCTGTTTGTTTTGAAAACTAATGCGGCTAAGGGATTTGTGTTAGTATCCTGTAAAGGTGTGGTTTGGTCAATGGGCGACAGATATTTAAAGAATAGGTTTACGAACAATATATCTGTATATTTTCAGAGTCAGAATAAACTTATCAGAAAACGTACTTCATCCTCAAAGGGGTAACTATTGAAGAACTCACACATGCCTTTCGCTATGGGTGAATTTGGGCGAGTAAATCGATCAGCATCCACGACTCACTATACTAGAAGGATTTTATATTTCAGCTGAAATATCTTACTGGTACTTTACATTTTTAGTGACATATCTTACTGGTACTGTATATTTTAACCTAACTATTTTACTGGAACTTTACATTTTAACTGAAATATTTACTGGTACTGTATATTTTAACTGAACTATTTTACTGGTCCTATATGTTTTAACTGAACTATTTTACTGGTCCTATATGTTTTAACTGAAATATTGTACTGGTCCTATGTGTTTTAACTGAACTATTTTACTGGTCCTATATGTTTTAACTGAACTATTTTACTGGTCCTATATGTTTTAACTGAACTATTTTACTGGTCCTATATGTTTTAACTGAACTATTTTACTGGTCCTATATGTTTTAACTGAACTATTTTACTGGTCCTATATGTTTTAACTGAACTATTTTACTGGTCCTATATGTTTTAACTGAACTATTTTACTGGTCCTATATGTTTTAACTGAACTATTTTACTGGTCCTATATGTTTTAACTGAACTATTTTACTGGTCCTATATGTTTTAACTGAACTATTTTACTGGTCCTATATGTTTTAACTGAACTATTTTACTGGTCCTATATGTTTTAACTGAACTATTTTACTGGTCCTATGTGTTTTAACTGAACTATTTTACTGGTCCTATGTGTTTTAACTGAACTATTTTACTGGTACTTTATATTTTAACTAAAATATTTTACTATTTTACTTGTACTCTTATGGTGGCCTATGAAACTGATGTTTGTTTATAATAGAATCTCAGCTATTCGTAACCTTATCTAATAGATATATTTAACTCTACATACTCAACATACAGCGACCGAGCCCTAAAGTTGTATGCTTCGTTATGTATTAAAAACATGTCTATTGCAGTATGAGTGAGATCGGCTTGAGACTATATTCTTTTTTCAGTTTGGAAATGACCAATCTTTTGAAATTGTATCATCGTGTAGATCTTTCTTTATCTATTTATCGATGTAAAAATCAGGTTTTCACAGGTTGGGTTAATTTCGACCGTTTCAACAACTTTTGTAAAATGCTATCTTCCAAAACGACCTCCGATCCATAATGATTTATTGTACATCTTTTTAAGTTACCTAGAAGTACTCAATCTTTACATGTACTGACATCACGATATATTCTTTATTCTATGACATTCGATGTACACTCCTGAACAACCTCGTTGGTTTAATTTAAGTTTACATTTTGTCAGAAAATAAATGTCAAAGGGACTGATATTTCTATACATCTGCTATGAATAGAAAATAATTCTATTAAGACTATTAAAATACAACCACTAAAATGCATTATGGCATTGATGGAACATGCTCCCCACATAATGATTGTTCTTCAAGATTTACTTTGATTTAATCCCATCTTTACAAGACATTTACAAGCTTGTGAATCTAGACTTTCTAGCAGTGCGTGTTGAAGTGGCGACAGATGCTCAATTTTTATGGGCGAGGTATTTATCCGAGAGAGGCCGAATGCTGGCCGTTTAACAAATATATTACATATTAAATGATTAATTTTTTATATGATGTCTTATCATTGGAAGGACCGTTCCAGCTTTCACTTATTGAATTTTAGATCGAAGCCAGATAACATGCATCACCACACGACTATAATTTAGGACATAAAAAATACAAACTTTAATTTGAAATGTAATTATTCTGGTATTCAGAAGCTAGTTTAACTTTCAGACGTGATTCAAGTCTAATGTCATATAAGTGGAATATTACCTATATGAAACTTTTTCACTCACTCACTCACACACCCACACATCCACACACCCATTCACTCACTCACTCACTCAAGTCGTACGTTCAACTACTACTAGTAGAACGCCGATCAAACAAGAGAAAGCTGTCCACCTACGGAAAGAGTTACTGTATGAGCGAGTGAGCGTACATGTTAGCGTGACCGCGATATTTTCCCTGAACACACACACACACCTTCACAATTCCTGGATCCGCCCATGTCTAGTACCGGATATGCACGTCGTCTTACCTGGTAGGTATCTTGTGAGAATACATTTGTCTATAACCCGTCCGGTGGTGTAAGAGCGTGAGAGAAGTACCTCCCCAACCTGCCCGCGGCTTGTCACAACGACAACAGCGGTGTCTGTGGTTGAGCGCGGGTAACCGGGTGTTTCCGCTTGGAGTCGCATGCCTCGGCGCAGCAGACGATATTTACATAACAATGGACGGCATTTGATATCTTTATGGTTTTTTCTGACAGGCAAGCAACAGGCTCACTGTAATCAAAGGATTAAATGTAGGGCTCATTCCCACTTACCACATCACTCCCACACCACCACACCACTATATCACCACACCACTATATCACCACCACACCACTACATCACACCACACCACCATATCACCACCACACCACCATATCACCACCACACCACCACACCACTATATCACCACCACACAACCATATCACCACCACACCACCACACCACTATATCACCACCACACCACTATATCACCACCACCGCCATATCACCACCACACCACCATATCACCACCACACCACCACACCACCACACCACTATATCACCACCACACAACCATATCACCACCACACCACCACACCACCATATCACCACCACACCACCATATCACCACCACCGCCATATCACCACCACACCACCATATCACCACCACACCACCATATCACCACACCACCATATCACCACCACACCACCATATCACCACCACACCACCATATCACCACCACCGCCATATCACAACTACACCACCATATCACCACCACACCACCACACCACCATATCACTATATCACACGACACCACCATATCACCACCACACCACCATATCACTATATCACCACCACACCACCACACCACTATATCACCACCACACCACCATATCACCACCACACCACCATGTCACCACTACACCACCATATCACTATATCACCACCACACCACCATATCACCACCACACCACTATATCACCACACCACTATATCACCACCATACCACCATATCACACCACACCACCATATCACCACCACACCACCATATCACTATATCACCACCACACCACCACACCGCTATATCACCACCACACCATCATATCACCACCACACCACCACACCACCATATCACCACCACACCACCATATCACCACACCACCATAGAACTACAATACCACCATATCACCATATCACCACTATATCACCACCACACCACCATATCATCACCACAACACCATATCACCACCACACCACCATATCACCACCACACCACCATATCACCACCACACCACTATATCACCACCACACCACTATATCACTACCACACCACCATATCATCACCACAACACCATATCACCACCACAACACCATATCATCACCACACCACCATATCACCACCACACCACCATATCACCACCACACCACCATATCACTATATCACCACCACACCACCACACCGCTATATCACCACCATACCATCATATCACTACCACACACACTACCACACCACTATATCACCACACCACTATATCACCACTACACACTACCATATCACCACTACATTACACACCATATCACCACCACACTACTATATCACAACTACACCACTATATCACCACCTACACCACACCATATCACCACTATATCACCACACCATATATCACCACCACTATATCAACACCATATATCACCACCACCACCATATCACCACACCACTATATCACCACCACACTACCATATCACCACCATATCACCACTACACCACCATATCACTATATCACTACCACACCACTATATCACCACACACTATATCACCACCACACCACTATATCACCACCATAGCCACTATATCACCACACCACTATATCATATATCACCACCACACTACCATATCATCACTATATCACCACCACACCACCACACACAACATATCACCACCACACCATCATATCACCACCACACCACCACACCACCATATCACCACCACACCACCATATCACCACACCACCATAGAACTACAATACCACCATATCACCATATCACCACTATATCACCACCACACCACCATATCATCACCACAACACTATATCACCACCACACCACCATATCACCACCACACCAATTACCATATCACCACTTTCACACCACTATATCACCACCACACCACTATATCACTACTACACCACCACCACCACAACACCATATCACCACCACACAATACTATATCACTACACACCACCCATATCACCACCACCACCATATCACCACATTTCACACCACCATATCACTATATCACCACCACACCACCACACCACTATATCACCACCACACCACCATCATATCACCACCACACCACCACACCACCATATCACCACCACACAACCATATCACCACACCACCATATCACCACCATACACCACCATATCACCACCACCGCTATATCACCACCATACCATATCACCACCACACCACCACACACCACCATATCACTATATCACACGACACCACCATATCACCACCACACCATATCACCATATCACTATATCACCATCACCACCACACCACCACACCACTATATCACCACCACACCACCATATCACCACCACACCACCATGTCACCACTACACCACCATATCACTATATCACCACCACACCACCATATCACCACCACACCACTATATCACCACACCACCATATATCACCACCATACCACCATATCACACCACACACCACCATATCACCACCACACCACCATATCACTATATCACCACCACACCACCACACCATCTATATCACCACCACACCATCATATCACCACCACACCACCACACCACCATATCACCACCACACCACCATATCACCACACCACCATAGAACTACAATACCACCATATCACCATATCACCACTATATCACCACCACACCACCATATCATCACCACAACACCATATCACCACCACACCACCATATCACCACCACACCACCATATCACCACCACACCACTATATCACCACCACACCACTATATCACTACCACACCACCATATCATCACCACAACACCATATCACCACCACAACACCATATCATCACCACACCACCACCATATCACCACCACACCACCACCATATCACCACCACACCACCATATCACTATATCACCACCACACCACCACACCATCATATCACCACCACACCATCATATCACCACCACACTACCACACCACCATATCACCACACCACCATAGAACTACAATACCACCATATCACCATATCACCACTATATCACCACCACACCACCATATCACCACCACATCACATATCACCACACACACTATATCACCACCACACCACCATATCACCACCACACACCACTATATCACCACCACACCACTATATCACCACCACTATATCACACCACCATATCATCACCACATAACACTATATCACCACCACAACACCATATCACTATCACCACACCACCATATCATCACCCACACCACCATATATCACCACCATACCACCACCATATCACCACCACACCAACATATCACCACCGCCATATATCACCACCACACCACATATCACCACCACCACCACATCACCACACCACTATATCACCACCAATATCAATTATATCACCACCATATCACCATATCACCACCACACCACTATATCACCACACCACCACCATATATCACCACCACACACCACCATATCACCACCACACCACCATATCACCACACCACTATATCACCACCACACCACCATATCACCACCACACCACCACATATCACCACACCGCTATCATCACCACACCACCATATCACCACACCACTATCACCACCACCATCACCACCACCACACCACCATATCACCACCACACCACCATATCACCACCACACCACCATATCACCACCATATATCACCACCATCACATATCACCACATCACCATATCACCACCACCATATCACCACATACACTACCACCACATCACTATATCACCACCACTACTATATCACCACCACCATATCACCACCATATCACCATATCACCACACCATATATCACCACCACACCACACCACCATATCACTATATCACCACATCACCATATCACCACATCACATATCACCATATCACCACGTCACTCACTACCACACCACCATCACCAGCACTACCCACATCACTATATCACCACCACACCACCATATCACCACCACACCACCATATAACACCACGCCACTATATCACCACACCATATCACCACCACTATATCACCATATCACCACCATCACCACCACTATATCACCACCACATCACTATATCACCACACCACAATTTCACCATATCACCACCACACACCACCATATCACCACCACACCACCACTACCAACCACATCACCACCACCACCACACCCACTATATCACCACCACACCACCATATCACCACCACACCACCATAATCCATATCACCACCACCACATAATATACACCATATCACCACCACCACCATATCACCACCACACCACCATATCACCACACACCACCATATCACCACCACACCACCATATCACCACCATACCACCATATCACCACCACACACCACCATATCACCACCACACCACCATATCACCACCACCCACACCACACCACCACACCACCATATCACCACCACACCACATATCACCACCACACCACCACACCACCACCACCACCATACCACCACACCACCATATCACCACCACACCACCATATCACCACCACACCACCACACCACCATATCACCACCACACCACATATCACCACACACCACCACACCACCACCATATCACCACCACATCACCATATCACCACCACACCACCATATCATCACCACACCACCATATCACCACCACACCACCATATCACCACCACCACCACCATATCACCACCACGCCACCATATCACTTATATCACCACACCACATATCACCACCACTATATCACCACCACACCACACACCACACCACCATATCACCACCACACCACACACCCACCATATCACCACCACACCACCATATCACCACCACACCACATCACCACCACGCCACCATATCACCACCATATCACCACCACACCACCATATCACCACCACACCACCACCATATCACCAT